TGACATTCTTTTTCTATTCCAGAATGCAGTGCAGGGCCCCGTATTATCCAGCTGTTGTCCCTTTTGTCTCCTTCAACCTGGACAGTCCCTCAGTCTCCCCTTGTCTTCCATGACATCAAGACTTTGACTGGGTGCTGCTCAGTTCATCTGTCTTGTGTTTTCTCAGGATGAGGTTGGGGTTCCACATTTTGGGTAAGGACACCACAGGAGCCCTCTTTTGTGCTTCATCAATGATCACATCAGGGACACATGGTGTCCCCAGGGCCCATTCCTGGTGATGTTAACCTAGAGGACTTGCTTAAGATGGTGTCTGCCCACTTTCTACACTGGAAAGTCACCACTCCTCTCAATAATAGAAGGAGATTCTGGGGGGACATACTTTGACACCATGCCAATATCCTGTTAGTCCTTCAGTTTTATCCATGAGAAGCGTTGAGGTATGGATCTTGCCTGTAATTGCTTTTTAATTTATTATGTTTTTGAGACAAGGCCTTGTAGAGCTGGCCTTCAACTTACTATGTAGTCCAGACTGGCCTTGAACTCGCAGCAGTCCTCCTGCTTCAGCCTCCCAGAGTGCTGGGATTATAGGAGTATGCCACTATGTCTGGCATAACAGATAACAGTGACATGTTACTATGATGTTCACTCTATTGGGCTGTGGGCTTTTTTGTTTGTTTTTTGCATCCTCCCCTTATTCTTTTTTTTTTTTTTTTTTTTGCTCCTCGAATGCCTTCAGGGCACTTTTGGCCAGCGGGAGAGGTGCGAGGTTTGAACTCCAGCAACCTGAGGCTGACAGCTTTGTGGAAGCAGCCACTTAAAGGCCTGAGCTAGGGCCAGGCCCCCCCCTTATTCTTTATACATTTATTAATTAGAATTTTTCTATAAGGAAGATCTGCCCATCCACCCCTATTTACTTATGTATGTGTATATTTATTTACACTACTATGAATCATGGATACTGATTTTATTATATCTATAATTATTTATTTTGGGCTCAGATTGTTCTTTCCCATAGTTTTCTGTGCCATTTGGCATTTTTAAGGTAGAAATTCCTAATTTCCTAGTACGATTTGATAGTCCAGATACACCTTACATTTCCTGCTCTCAATGTTAGAATCAGTCATTTCTCCAGTGAGCCCTGGGTCCTCGGCCTGGAAAGTGGTATAAAATGCAAAGTCCTGGCTGGTGTTTTCTTTGCTACCAGGTGTCATCATTCACTGCACAGAGCTAGGAAATGCACGTATGTGCACTCAGGCGCACACACACACACACACACACACAGACACACACACAGACACACACACATGTCTTCTCTTTCCGTCTATTCATCTGTGTATACTAAAAACACAGTGACATACCAATACCGCAAGATCCATTCGAGCCTTCCTCCTTGCTTAATCTTTTTCCAAAAATATTTATAGGTTACTGACTCATAACCCTGTGAGCCAGGGTATAGTACTTACTAGCTAGAGAACAGCAGGTAACTTTATTTGTTTTTAACTTTATAGCATCCAGTCGAGGTGTTGCTTTTCAGGTACTTGGTTGCTTTTTTCATTAATTTTACAATATTAGGTTAATCTGTTCATTTTTTATCCACTCTCATCCCTCCAACCCCTACTCCTGGTTCGCTGGCATGCATGTATGTACCTATGTATGTCTGCATGTATGTAACACATCAGCTTGGTTTGAGAGTCAGAGCTATACAAAAAAGTATCCTCAGAGCGGTGGGACTCCTTTCCACCCCTATTATCCTAGTTTCATGCCTCCTTTCTGCCCCCTTCCCTGTACTGTGTAGGTCACCAATCTATAATTCCTGACTTATCATTTTTTTCCACAAATAGGCACATAAATTTATATTTCTTTTAAACAACTTTATGAAAATGTCACCTACCACAACATCTACCAGTTTTCAGTGACAATCAGTTAAATCAGCTGAGTTATGCAATCATACTGTAATGTAGTTTGCAAACATTTTCCTCACTGCAATAAAATGTCTCATACAACTGTATAACTAATTTTCATTTCCAGCCTAAAAAGCCCCAGACAACCAATAATCTATTTTCTAAATCTGTGTATTTGTCTTTCCTGGATATTTGAGGTAGGTGGAATCATAATTTGTGGTCATTTGTATTTGGATTCTTACACTTAGCATCATATCCTTGAGATTCATTCATCTTCATCTTCATTCTTTTCAAAAATTTAATATTATACTCCACTGTCTGGCCCCACCATATTTTGTTTATTCATTTACCAGTAGAGGACACCCTGATTATTTCTTCTTGTGGGCTATGAAAAATAATCTTGCTATGAATATTTGTGTGCAAGTCTTTTGTGGACATAACTTTCATTTCTTTTGAAAAACTTTGTGTACCAAAAGATGATATTGGGTCGGGGCTGGGGTGATAGCTCCGTGGAATAAGCGCTTCCCTGGCAAGTGCAAGGGCCTGAGTTCAATCCCTGGTTCCGAAAAAAAAAAAAAAAAAGATGATATTGGGGCTGGTGAGATAGCTCAGTGGACTAAAGCACCTACTTAGGCAAGTGCAGGGACCATGGATTGATCCCCTGCACCACATGCTGCGCCAGTCCCACCCGCAGGGCACACTGAGGACAGAGTCTGGGCGTAATGGCACACGCCTGTAATCCCACTGCTGAGGAAGCTGAAAATAGGAGGATCACTATGAGTCCGATCTGCTAGTGAGATCTTGTAACAACCAAATACATTAAAAAGAAAGAAAGAAAGAAAAAAAAAAGATGATGCCAGCCGTGGTGGCAAACTCTGTAATCCCAGCACTTGGGAGGCAGAAGCAGGAGGATTGTTGTGAGTTTGAGACCAGCCTGGGCTACAAAGTGAGCTCAAGGCCAGGCTGAACTGCATAGCAAGACCCTGTCTCAAAAAGACAATAAATAAATAAAAAAGATGATATCAACAGGTTATGAAAACAACTCCCAGAAGAGGAGAAAATATTTACAAGTCATATGTAATAAAAAATGAATATCTAAAAGAGAGAACCCCAAAACTCAGTGCCAGATAATCCAATTAAAAAACCCAAAAACCCAATTATGCAGAGGACCTCAGTAGACACTTCTCTAAAGAAAATGTATACTTGGCCAATAATTACACTGAACATCAGGTAAATGCAAGTCAAAACTGTGAGCTATCACTCATACTCATTAGAATGACTACTATAAAAAACAAAACAGAGCAGAAATAAGTGTGGGTGAGGATGCGGAGAAGTTAGAACACTCATGCATTGTCGTGGGAGTATAAAGTGATATAGCCCCTATGGAGGGCAGTATGGTGGTTTCCGAAATACTAAAAATAGAACTTCCGTATGATCCAGCGATGCTACCTCTGAGTGTGCATCCAGAGGAATTGTTAGGAAAGTTTTAAGGAGCTTTGTTCATGTCCATGGCATTAGTCACAGTAGCCAACAGGTAGAAGCAACCAAAGTGTCTGCTGACAGGACGATGGATAAGCAGCATCTTACACACACGGAATATTATTTGTCCCCGGTCACATGCTGCAATGCGAATGAACCTGGAGAATATGGTGCTAAGTGAAGTAAGCCATTAGCAAGAGGCAAATAGTGACTGAGTCCACAAGCGTGAGGCATTTGAAGTGGGCAGAATCACAGACGTCAACAGAGCAGTGACTGCCAGGGGCTGGTGGAGAGGGAAACACTGAGGGTGATGGACATTGAGGTTTAGTGGATAAAAAATTCCAATTTTATAAGATAAAAAAGAGTTATGATGATGAGTGGTGAGTTATGAAATTACTCACACTATAAGTAATTTCATAGTACTAAACTATTTACTTAAGAAGAGAGTGAAAGAAACTGCCAAATTGATTTCCAAAGTGACCATGCCATCTTGTTCCCACCAGCAGTGTACAAGGGCTTACCACTTATCCACACCCTTGGACCACTTGTAGTCTCTCTCTCTCTTTCTGTGGTACTGGGAACCAGACTCAGGACTTCATGCTTGCCCGGCAAGCACTTATTCTGCTGAGCCATCTCCCCAGTCCCCTGTAGTCTATCTTATTTATTCCAGTGGAACAATATGAAGTATTATCTTGTTGTGGTTTAAATTTTCCTTTCCTTAATTACTAAGGACATTGAGCATTTTCAGTGTGTTTCTCTGCCATTTGCATGTCATCTTTGGTGAAATAGGTCTATTTAAATCTCTTGCCCATTTAAAAATTCAGTCATTTGTCTTTTTATAATTGTGAGTTCTTCATAAATCCTTTAGAAGGTATATGACTTGTAAATACTTTCTACTAACGTATAGCTTGTCTTTATTTTTTTAATATCTTTTGCAGTTCAAAACTAAATAAATAAATTGATTAACTGATTGATTGATTGATGGTAGTACTGGGGATTGAACCCAGGGAACAAAGTTACATTCCCATTTCTTTTTTTTTTTTTTTTAATGTTCAGATAGGGTTTCAGTAAATTGTCCAAGCTGGGATTGAGCTTGCTACTTCCTGCCTCAGCTCCTGAATAACTGGGATTACAGGGAGGCACTATCCCACTTGGCTCAAAAATTTTATTTATTTATTTTTATTTTATTTTATTTAATTTTTTTGTGGTACAGGAAATCGAACTCAGGACCTTGTGCTTGCCAGGCAGGTGCTTTAATCCAGTGAACTATCTGGCCAGCCCTGTAGATGCATTTTGATTTTTTTTTTAAATTTAAGAGTTCATTCTAGAAATCACTCCAAATCAATTTAGAGATTTTCTTCTTCCTCTTCCTTTTTAAAAAATATAGCTGCACAGCACTCTGACAATTAGTTACACCATATTCATTAAACTGTTGTATTGTTTATTGGCTTCTAGGCTGTTTCCAGGAATTTGTAATTACAAATATTGTTGATGTACGGAACCTTGTAGTTATTTTTTTTCTTGCTTTGGGCTGGATTCTGAGCAATGGGGTAAATACATATGTCTCCCAAAGAAATTGCACCTGTTTGGTTTATTTCTGTTTTATTCCCAGACATTGATGAATGTGGAAATGAACTCAATGGAGGCTGTGTCCATGACTGTTTGAATATTCCAGGCAATTATCGCTGTACTTGTTTTGATGGCTTCATGTTGGCTCATGATGGGCATAATTGTCTTGGTAAGAAAAACATTTAGAAATGGTAATTCTCCTGTACCACCCTCTAATATCTCCCTTTTCTTTCCTTTGGTGTAAACTTACTTACTAAGACAAAAAGTGTATGAGAGGCGTGGTTTTTGATGCCCAAGAAATCAGACTCCCTGCTAGAAAATCAGGTAAAATGTTTTAGTTTTTATATGGTCATTCATAATATAAATCCTTCATCAGCCCAAGAAGATGGGCAGACATTGTCATTACTATTTATTGATTGTCTAACATTAACTTGTCACCTTTAATATCTTTGGTTTGGGGTTAAAAGGATCTTGACTTATAACTATTCCATTAATCTTACAGATATCTTCTTTTTCTGAAATTAGGTAAAACTCCTTGTCCTGAGGACTTCAAATGTATGCGTGGGTCATTGCCAGATAGACGCTCCCCCACCCCTTCTCTTGAAAGACAGAAAATAAAACAGAAACTTTCCATGAACATCCTCCTGGTACTCTATACAACAGCAACATCTGTTAGAGTTTCCATTCCTGAATCAGGGACTTCAAGAAGTGCTGTTCTCATTAGTTCTTTGTGCCAGAGATAAAATAGAACTTAGAAATAGCAAGCAACTGAATGGGGTTGAGTGTTGGACAGTCTTTGAGTGACATAGTACACCTGGTCGGTAGGTATTTGTGGTTTGCTTTTTAAGGTGAGTGTTATCAGCTGACAGGAAGACACTGTGGGAGACACATGGCAGCAGGGTCCTTTATGGCGATGACCTTTCTATAGCTGGCCTACTAGTGTCTACCTGGCCAACTGAGAAGCAGCTTGGTCAAGGCTGTGGCTCTGTGGGGACAACTATTCAAGTGCCCCTTTATGGTACGGTAGAAATGGCTAATTGATGCACTCAAGATGTTTTGACAGCAGCATGCAAAGGCCCTAGAAGAATGCATGCACAACTTGTGTTTTCAGTGGTAGGGCTCTGGTGTGGTGAGCGAATAGTCCCATGTGGGACTCGGCCTAGATGTGACCTCTGTTTCCTTCAGGATCACCTGGAGCTCTATCCTGAGGTAGCCACGGTTCTTTCCTCTTGGCACCTGTGGAAGAGTTCAGGCTTGGCTCCACAGTGGCTTTGCAAGCCTGAAGCTGTCAGGAAAAGTTGGTCAAAGGCTGGGGAGGTGGTAACCCCTTAGGAGACTCCAGGCAGTCAGCACCACAAAAAGGCATCTTTGAGAACAATCTTGAGGATAGGGGGAAACTGAGATAAGTTTAGAACTCAGGAAAGGGAAATCCCTTTTAGTGGGTAATTTGTTAGGAATCATAGAGTATGGGTTTTTTTTTGTCTGTTGTGTTTTGTTTGCCATTTTCAGAAGGCAGTTTCCCTTTGATTTGCCAGCAGTGGCATTTCGAGGCTTCATATCTGATTGTAGACCTGGTCATTACTGCTGTGCTCTGATCCACAGCCTGGGGGAAGTGTGAGCTCCGGAGGAGCAACAAAGTGAACCATCCAAGCTTTCAGGACCTGGGCCAGGGCTGGGCGGAGTGGTTCTGCGTACAGGCCTGCTCAGAAACCCTGATGCCTGGAGTCTTGCTTTGCCTGAGCCCATACCACAAATATTTCAGCTGAGTATCTTCATTTCTCCTCCTCAGGCCCTCTCTGTGTACTCGATCACCGTAGCTGCTTACAGAGAGACCCTGAGCATGTCTGCAGGGCTAAGGATTCTTTTAAAGTCCCTTTGAAAGTGTAAAACCAGCACACAGAGACTGCTGCCATTCACACTGGGATGGACAGGCGTACTCTGGCAGGAAAGAAGCCCGGAGCTGAAACTTCTGGCGTGGCAGGTTCTGGTGTTCTCTGAGATGAGCCCTCCTCACGTCGGCCTTCTGGTCACACTTTAGTCTTCGGAGGAGGCATCTCAGCACCAGCGTGCTAGCATAGGTTGAGCACCCTGCCTGGTAGGCTGGAGAAACTTGCCAGCCTGGTAATATACATTTATGTATATGAATACATGCATTGTGATGCTTATCTAGTTGCAGTGTGGTTCCCAGCCTAGAGATACATTTCTGATTGCTTTGCAGAGATGTAGTAAGTTCAAAGTGGCAGCCCAAGAGCAGCGTGCCTTTGCTCATACCCAACCCAGCATGTGGTGCTCAGGGGGACAGACCCCTCCTGCTCACCGTGAGTCCTTACCATGGACATCTAGGCCAGGGGCACCCTGCACAGCTTATCCTCTGGAATGTGCTTCCTTTGGCCTTTGGCATAGACAAGGGCGAGTTTGTTAGGCTTTAGGGGATGGCTTGGGTCCCATCAGTTTAGTCAGGCATCTGCCCGGTAGTGTGGGAGGACAGATGCCTGTAAGATCTGAGGCTTGAAACCAGATAACAGATATTTAAATGTGAATTTTCTGATTACAGATATGCCCAGGAGCTAGTGATAGACACATGAGAATTTCGATGGATGAAAATAAATTGCTTTTTAAATCAGCATTCTGTAGAGTCTTGGTGGTGTCTGAGGCTCTTCTGGGTGTTCCCTCAGCCTCTGGTGACGCTGCACTCTCCTGCTTGTTTGTCCGTGCGCTGAGCAGTTCGTGAGGGCCTACCATGTTTCAGGGCTGTGCTAATTACGACCAAAAGCTTGGTCCTCAAGGAGTTTGCAGTCTAATAGAGATGGACAGGCAAAGGGTTTTGAGGATGCAGATAGGTAAGTGTCCCAGTACAGCAGAGTGCAGGATGTCTCAGCCTTGGAGAAGGAAGGTCCCCATGGGGTGGCAGGAGCAGGTCAGAGAAGCCTTCTTTCCACCATGCCTTTCTCATGGCCCCTTCTCTGGAACTTCTGGGATTCCTGCTCTCTCCTCTATTTGCTCCAGCACTGCCCAGAATTCTCCATCTCTCTGCCCCCTTTCTACACCTCGTTCTGGCTTTCCCACACTCCTGCCTTTGATTCTCTCAGGACTGGCATCCCCAGCCCACCCCGCCTTGGGGGAAGAGACAGCTGTGGCTCCATGCTCGTGTCTGCACCAGTGCTGGTTTCTCCCATGTTTCTTTTCTACAGACAGCCTCCGTGTCAACTTTTCATCCTCTGAGGAGCAAGGGAAAGTTAACACCAGCCTCATGAGCACCTTGCCCATCTAGTCTTCTGTGCCTGCCATCCCAGCAAGCCCCCACCCTCCCTAGTTCTGTCCCGTGCAAGGGCAGCGTGGTCATGGCCATCTCAGGTGTGCTCCTGTGCAGCTAGACTCCCTGGATTTCTTTTTCTCCTCTTCCCAGTGCCCTATACCTTCCGTTGCCTCCCTAACTTCTCCAAAAATCAGGGTCTCACTGTGTCTCCCCTGCTCCAGTGGTAGCAGCTGTCTCCCAAATGAAGTAGGAGCAAATTTGCCTGGAATTCAAGATCCTGCATGTGACCTCAGTCTCTCTCCCACTGTGTCTCCTGTGACTCCCTTCATGTCCCCTGTGCTCCAGCCAAATCAAGTGACTCACTGCGGTCTGAGTTCTTCATGCTTCGCAGCCTCTGTGCGCCAGCTCATACTCCCTCCCCTGCCTGCAATCTCTTCTCTCAGGATTTAGAATTGCAAAGATCCAAAGATCCCAACTTTTACTAGGTTTCCCATAAAACCGCTGGTGATGCCACACAATCAGATATGACCTCTCTTTCCTCTATGCCACCTTTCACCTTGCCTCAGAGTCATTTGTGTAGTCGTCTCCTTCCCTCTCCTCATGTCTCCTGAAGGGCTTGCTTCTGGAGGGCAGGAATGTTATCTTGCCATCTAGCGCCAAGCCTTGGAAAGCAAAGGTGTTCAGTACAAGGTAACTGAGCTGATGATCTCGTGTTTGTGCCAGGGGCCTGGCTTGGTGAGCCCCAGACCTATAAAGGCTGTGCTAGTCATCTGCCGGTCTCAGAAGCTTTGATTCTGAGAGCTTCTGTGAGGCAGGATAGAAGAGGGCCCTCAAGTCTGCTTGCCAGGCTGGGTGGGGCATTTGAAACAGCTGTAGAAAGAAAGGCTAATAATTCTTCTCCCCCTCCAGATGTGGACGAATGCCTGGAGAACAATGGCGGCTGCCAGCACACCTGTGTCAACGCCATGGGGAGCTACGAGTGCCGCTGCAAGGAGGGCTTTTTCCTGAGTGACAATCAGCACACGTGCATTCACCGCTCAGAAGGTACCGTACCTCTACCCTGCTGGGAGCAGTGGGCCGAGCCACACCTGAGAGGTCCCCCAGACACCATATAGAAAATCTGGAGGTGTAAGGAAGAGTCTGCACTGTGCTCCCGGGAACTGTGGGCGAGTTATTTACCTTCACTTTCCTCACCTGGCAAAAATCAGGGCCTGTCTGGGGAAGCTCTGAGGTCGTCACACACTTTCATATTCTTTGATTCTAATCTTTAAATAGAGTACATTGCAAACAGGGCTAGATGTCTCTGGAGAAATAGGATGGATGATCTGCCAAGTTTTTCAAAAAGGTGCCGAAAACCACAGCACCAGTGCGAGCCTGCCCCTTGCTCTGGTGGGTGGGGAGGGGGCTGGGTCCTTTCTGTGGAAACTGGCCATAAATTGCCCTGGTTCCAGCCCCAAGCTAGTTCTGGTCCTGTCCCGTGTTTTGCCTTTTGGAACGCTGAGCCTCAGGGCTCTGAGGGGCAGAAGAACTCCCTCCCTGGGAACTGTCTACACTGTGGTTTCTTTCACCCATTCCCATTCCCTACAGCTCTCATTAATTTACTTGCTGCTCTTACGGAGGAGCATGACCTCCTTCTCAAGTTCTTTGCTTTGAGTTGACACCTTTTTCATTCCTGTCACTTTGGTGGCATCTTGGGATGAAGGGGCATTAAGGACATGTGGCCAATCAGTTATTTTTAACCAAATATCATCCCTTTAATCCTTCTTAAGCCAAAAAAGCCACATTATAGTGACTGTGTTTCTCTTGTGGTTGCATCTGCCTGTGATTAGGGCAAGCGCCCTAAATATTAGACTATTAACTCCTTTACCATGTGCTGCTTATTTAATTCCCATATCTTAAGAGTGAGGTCATTTCAAGTTCTTCTACTTAATCACAAGTTTGCAGATTTATTGTTCCAGTGACTTTGCAAGGATTTCTTCATGGAAGATAATTTTGTCTCATTTTCTAAGAATAAAGGTTCATACCTTTTGACTAACTAAAATACCTCTTTGTGTACGAAAATCAGTTATCAGAGACACCACTGGGGGCCAGTGGCTTGATGGCTAAGCCTGCTCATGTCCAGCATTTAGGGCCAGGCAGTCACATGGGCTACCTTTAATCATAAAGCTATTTTTTTTCTGTATTTAGGACAGGGCCTACAGGGTCTATAGGGTCTCACTATGTAGATCAGACTCATAATGATCCTTCTGTTTTCAGCCTCCCAAGCGCTGGGCTTACAGGCGCATGCACCACCACACCCAGTCTCAATCACCATCGCAGGCTGGGCCGGCACAGCATACCGGGGATCGAACCCTGGCCCCTGCGCTCTGCCTAAGCAGGCACTTTAGTCCACTGACCTATCTGCCCGGCCCCACAAAGCTATTTTTTAAAAATCTCATGCTAGATGTGGCCTTTGGGTGGCAGTTGGGTTTCATTTTTCTTCCCGGTTCTCTGGACTCTCTGGTGTGCCATGAAGTCCGCAGTAGGCCACAGTGGAGGTGGGAATGCAGGGAGTCACAGTGCATAGTGATCTGCGTTGGGGTCTCTCCCCCTTTGGTTACTCAAAGCCGCTTCATGGTGATTGAGCCTGGCTTCCTCTTCTGGTGGCTGGGTGCAGAGACAGGGACCTAGAGGTAATGTCATTGCCTGCACGCACAGCATAGATCCCGCCCCATCACGGGCAGCTTGGAGGGATTGCGTTCGTCTCTCACCCTTGTGCTTCCAGAGCCCTGGCTCAGCCCTCTCCTCCTAGGCTGATTAGAGACACAGGCTCCTCACCACAGAGGTAACTACAAACGCAGTTCCTTTCTGGAAGCTGTGTTGTCTAAATTTTTCAACAATTCCGACATTCTTGGATCCCCTGAAGAGTGTTTAAAATGAACATATTCGTCTGGAACTAAAACCCAAACCCAAGAATCTGAGTTGTGGTCTGGAAACACTCTCTGATTTTCTGTTGTGTTTCAACCTCATTGCTTGGCAGATTCATGTCAGCGCGCGCCAACAGATTATAGTGATTTGGAACGATGACCCCTTCCATCCTAGGCCTTTAGTTCCTCAAATAGAGCAACCTATAAACAGTGTTCCTCTCGGACTTCCTCCCTGATGTGCATATTAAGCTCTTAGAAACTGTATTGAAATAGACTTTAACATCCACAGTGGATACCCTAAAAACAGTAGGCAACACCACAGGTTAGTATTTTTTAGCATGGTTGTTGTTTTTATTGATTCTTTACTAAGTGTTCTTCAATCCAGAGTTCTATAGTAGAGGTCCTGAGGGAAAGTTCAAGCTATTGATGTTTTTCTAATCCTTCGAGACCGCTAAGCTCTGATAGAATACTGTGTGTTTTCACCCATGTAATGGGGGTAGGCTGGAGAGAAACACATTGCCCCCAGCCTGCTTTTGTTCCTATTCATGGGTTCTCAGGCTCTCAAAGTGAGCATTTCTCTTTTGTTTTGTCTGCACTGAGAATATTTAACTGGTGTTGTACTGCTGGAGCAGGGTGATGGCGAAGGTGGCAAGGTGGTGAGGCCCAGCAGGGCCTCTTTTTTCATTTTATGTAACATCTTTTGGCCCCATTCTCAAGGCATATTTAATTTTCAGTTCCCAGAGATCTCTTTGAGTGGCACCCTGAGCCTGGACAGTGTCAACATGGGGCATTTCTGGTACCTCTGAGCCGCTCCTTTCCTGGTGAAGGACCCTCTGAGACATGACTGCCAAGTGGCTCCAGGACAGCCAGGGCCTGTTGGTCTCCCACTTGGGACCAGATTTATCTGCTTCCCCAGCAGTGGCCTTGTTTTAAGTCAAGTATTCAGAACGGCTTCCGGTCACCAGCATTTTCATTTCTACTACCATACTGTTAACGTTAGGCCTAACCTGATAAGATAAGGATACAGGGGACACCTTCTCTGTTGATCTGGATGACATCTAGCACCTGGCTATTCTTTTTTATTTTTGGTGCTGAGGAGTGAACCCAGGGCTTTCACACTGAGCTACATCCTCAGCTTTTTTTTTTTTTTTTTTAGATAGGATCTCACTGAGTCATTAAGTTGCCCAGGTTGGGCTCAAACTTGTGATACTCCTGCCTCAGTTTCCCAGAGTATCAGGATTATAGGTGTGTACCACCACACCTGGCTCCAGCCTACGTTTCCCCCTGAAAATAAGACCTAACTGTAAAATTAGTCCTATTTGGTTATCACCAGGTGACGGCCAGTTTCATGCAAAAGCTAATACTTCACTATCTTCTTATCTGGTCATTATTTTGTAATGGCAGCTAGATAGGCAGACTGGAGCTGGCATTTTTGATTTTTGGTTTTCAAGGCTGATTATTTTCCAATTAAGTCTTATTATCAGGGAAACACAGTATTTTATATTTATTTATTTATTTATTTATTTTACGCTCAATTATTCTGAGGCAGTAAAGGCCACATTGCAGATGTCTTAATGGATGTGTAACCAGAGTGTAAAAGATAGTGAATAGGGCCGGCCAAATAGCTCCGCAGATTAAAATGTCTGCAAGCAGGCGCCAAGGGCCAGCCATGCCAGCCCCGCCCCAGGGGCACGCTGAGACCGTGATTGAGCGTGGGGGGCGTGGGGGGCATGGCGCCTGTAATCCCAGCACTTGGGATGCAGTGAACAGGCGGATCACTACGAGTCTGATATAGTAGTGAGACCCTGAACACCCTGTAGACCCTTCCCTAAAATAAAAAAAAAAAAAAAAAAAAAAAAAGACGGTGAAGATGAAATGACCCATTTGGGGAGGGTTCTTTCCCAGTATTCCTGCTACCTTTTCTTGAGTATTGTTACAGTTACCCTGGGTGTTCCTGGCACGGTTCTTTCAAATGCTTCATGACCCAAAGACCAAGTGCTTGGCAGGCCTTCTCAGGAGGACAGGACACTATCTCTGCAGGACCTATCCTCTCTCAGTACCAGACAGCATGGGACACCTCTGTAAGCTACCAGCCAGAGCAGAGAGAGCTCCGCACAGAATCAGGATGAAGTTTTCTGTGTTACCTGACAGCAGCTCTTGGGGGCTGGGAGATCCTAGCGTTGTGTAGCAGGTTGGGCGCTGGAACACAGGCAGCTCCGGGCTCTGTAAGGAGAAACTCAGGAGTGCAGAGGGTGTCTTAGCTCCCGCACTGTCTTTTGGAGTAGGAATGGCACATGTTTGTGTTGAAACCATTGTTCCATGATACACAGGTGAGTGGCTGTATGTGAAAGAGGAGACCCATGACTTCCCTGGAGCCTAAGGGGATAAGGTTTTAGGACTAATGTTGGATTCTTGAAAAATTAAATGAAAGCTTCTTGTAGTTGTGTTTAAAAAAGTGCTACTTTCAGAATTAAGAGTATCTTGCTCCTAGAGAGTCAGTGAGAACCAAACCCGACTCTAGGGGATGTTTTCAAGTTGGTCCGCACAAATACCAGCCAGCTATATATGATGGTTCCTTGGGAATACAGAACCTACCTCGCAGGTGTCCTGAGGATGTGCCTGCCTGTGACATGTGATCTCCCGGGTGCTGGCAGGTAGCAAGGCCCCAAGCAATTGCTTTCAAGTTGAGGCAGAAGACGGGTGACCCACAATAGTTTACTTGGCTATTGCCCCATACTTAGATGCATGTAAAACCATCAAGATCATAACCACCTGTCTCCTTTCTTAGCATTAGTACAAGATTGCGCTTCCTTAATAGAAATTTAAAGTATACCGAAAAAATTATAGAGCAGCTAAGGGAGCCATATGTGTGCAGTCTCTCTCTTTGTTCTCCTTTTGTATGAATGATGCTGTCTGTTGGCAACAAAGGGAGGGGACAAGGACCGACAGAGGCCAGTCACATAGGAAAGGTCCCAGCAGGTAATGCCAAAATACAGTAGTTCTCCTCGAGGCTGCACAAAGTTTGGCTCTTGTTGGAGTGGAGAGGAGAGCTGATGGTTTTTGAAAAAGGCCCTTAAGCATATGTGAAAGGTTTGCATTTTTGATCAGTGAGTAAAAAATACAGCAGTGATAAAAGTCTGGTGAGAGGCTGTGGCAGAAAGACCGTAAGTTCTAGCCCACATCTGGAAACTCCTTCATGGGTCAGCAGGCTCTGATCCACACTCAGCAGACAGCCAAAGATTTTTAGTGGAGGAGCTACCACCTTCTTAGGAGAATGGAGACATCATGTCTCTTGGGAGATACAAGAAATCTTTCATGTCTCTGCTAATTGGCCCAGATTGATTGTAATGCTTTATTTATTCTTTCTTCTTAGTACTGGGGAGTTGAACCCAGGCTTCACACATGCTAGCCAAGTGTTGTGCCACTGAGCTGTGTTTCCAGCTCATGATATCTCTTTTTCAAAATGTGAGGCTAGGATCGGCCAGATAGCTCAGCAGACTAAAGCACCTGCTGAGGCAGAGCGCAGCACAGGAGGGTTCGATCCCCAGCATGCCGTGCCAGCACTTCCTATGGGGCGGGCTGAGTTGGCGATTGAGACTGGATGTGGTGGTGTGTGCCTGTAATCCCAGTGCTTGGGAGGCTGAAAACAGGAGAATCACTACAAGTCCGTTCTACGTAGTCAGACCCTGTAGACCCGGTACTAAAATACATTAAAAAAAAAAAAAAGTGAGGCTAATGGAAACCGAGAAGGGCAGGGGGTAGGTCTGTGGCTCTCCCCACCCCCAGTCCTGTGCAGCTCCCCTGGGGCTCAGAATGCTGTTTGCAGACTAGTTACCTGCAGCATGCTGCTGTTTTGCAGAGGGCCTGAGTTGCATGAATAAGGATCATGGCTGCAGCCACATCTGCAAGGAGGCCCCCAGGGGCAGCGCCGCCTGCGAGTGTAGACCTGGTTTCGAGCTGGCCAAGAACCAGAGAGACTGCATCTGTAAGTAGGAACGGCTGCTCCGCCACACTGGGGCCATGATACCCAGAATCTGCCTTCTGTAAGCGTCGGAAACGCCACTGCACGGCACAGAGACACTGTCCTCCTCCAAGTGCCGCATCCACTGCAGCGGGGCACTCCCTTGCAGGGAATGGGAGTGTGATTGATAAGGAACGAATGAGAAGGGAATGAAATGCAGGCGTAAACAACGTCAGTGTTCAGGGACAGATCTCCCTGTTCTGGTAGAAGAACGTCACAGATTTCCTCATCTGGCAGTCACAGCTCTTTGATATCTGCTCCCTGCTTCCTTTATGAGCTTCATCTGTGTCCTTTTTTACAGATGCTAAATTCCTTGCCCTTTGGAGAACACCCCTTATTCCTCTAAGCCTTTTCCAGCCCTCCTCCACTCCTGGTTGGTGAACACTTACCCGATCTTCAACATCCTAACTTGTAATAATGATAAAGATCACGGCTACTTTTAAAAGAGATTTATTGCATGCAAAGGCTTGTCTCAGATGTACCACATCCCCTTCAATTCCTACAAGACCCACTATGAGCCGAGTATTATTATTCACATTTTCAGTTGAGAAAGTTGTGAATAAGGCAAAGAAACAAGGTCGTACCGGGAGTGAAGTGGCAAATTAATTTTCAAACCTATGTCGTCACAACTGCCAAGCTATGTTCAAATCACCACACTACCCTGCGTCAGAAGTCCTTCCACAGCCTCTGACAGGGCAGCCATTGTGTATTTTGGCTTCCATAGCACTTTGTTTATTCCTCCATCATACTGCATGACACTGGATTGAATTGTGTGTTGAATGTCTATGTCCCCAGCTGTGAGCTACTCCCAGTCAGGGACCTTGTCTCACTTTTGCCCCTCAGTTTTTCCCTGGGGCCTACCACAGGATGTGCTCAGTGTGCACTTGTTTAATGCTTGGGTGAGTGGGGGTGTGCACAGTATGGACACAGCTGCTACACAGTGGTTGTGGTAACAAAACCCTAATGGACAACAGGAAACAACTATCAATTAACGGTGTTCCTAAACCATTACTTATGCTAGAGAAAATAGAGGGTTTCCTTTCAGAACTCTTTCCTAAGCTGTGGGCAGAGACCCTCACATCTTCCTACAGATGGTGTGTTCACCATGAGGAGCTGGTTTCCCAGTGAGACATTTTTCTCCATTATCTCCAGGCTGAAACAAAGGGTGACCTCCAGACCTGCCAATGCCACTGTCCCCCTCAAACAACAGATTCTGCTAGGCTTTGACAGCCTGCCAGTGTGAAGCTGCCCCTGAGGGAGTTGAGCAGAGCTGAGGAACCTTTCTAATGTCCAGGTCTTTGAGAGGAGGACTCCAGGTCTTCCAAGACTCATCTGTGCAGCCAGACTCTCAACACTGCAGTTTTTCAGGGGCTGACTGCTAGAATAAGAACACCTGGAAAATAATTTTTAAAAATTTAAATGTTCGGTGTGCTATGCCAGCCCCGCTCCTGAAGTGCGCTGAGAGGGCAGCTGAGACTGGGTGTGGTGGTGCGTGCCTGTAATCCCAGCGCTAGGGAGGCCGAGAACAGGAGGATCACTGTGAGTCTGAGCTTCATAGTGAGACCCTGTACCAAATACATTTAAAAAAAAATTAAATGTTTGTGAAATATCGCTGCTTAAATAGTATTGTTATAGCATTTGAGAATCAAAAAACCCCCAAATATCCAGAATTCTATGACATAACTTGTTGGTTCATGTTTTTTCCGTATTTTGATTTAGTTGCCATATATATATACACACACACAATTTTATATATCTATAATCACAGAACAGCTTCTTTCCCATATTACAAATATGTAACTAGGCCAGGGAGATGGCTCAGTGGAATAAGTGCTTCCTTGGCAAGCGCAAGGGCCTGAGTTCAATCCCTGGTTCTGCCCCCCAAAAATAAATAAATAAATAAATAAATAAACCCCAAATATTTAACTAGTTCTTTTTGATTAGAAAAATTATAAAGGCCTGTGTAAGAATTCAAACACTTGCAAGCGCATAAAGACAGCATGTAATCTCCCCTTCCCATTTTCTTTGCCAAAGGTAACTCTGTTAACAACTAGTTTTATAGCTGGCTTTTTAAATTTAGTTTTGGCCTATCATCAATGCATTTATACATAGTTTTCATAATTATCAGTTAATTTGCATTAATTGTCTGCAGAATCACTTCCTCTGATTATTTTCTCTTTTAATGAATCCAGATGGAGTCTACTGAGAGAAATCCTAACATATGTACAAGTTAAATAATGTCACTGTGTTTCAGTGATAAAGCGCTATTTCTCAAAGCTACAGAAAAGCTGTGATAACAGGCAGACTTCTGTAGACAGAGCAGAGCATTAATTTAGCATTTTGGTATAATTCCTTCTCCTTGGTGACCTCTCCTCAACACACACACATTTCTGTCCTGCTGTGTGACTTTGTTCAAACTTCTAGTTTATCAGCATTTACAACTTGAATCATGATTGTTTGTTTTCTACAGATATGGATAGAACATGAATGGCAGTTATCTCTTTTATGCTTAGTGCCTGGCACATAGGAGGTACTCAGATCCGTGCAGAATGAAAAATTGGAGTTCCTCCGGAGCAAACACAGTCCTGATTGTGGAAACCTCACTGCTTTATGTATTGATTCACTTTGTTTCCAGTGACCTGTAACCATGGAAACGGTGGGTGTCAGCACTCCTGTGAAGACACAGCTGAAGGCCCGGAGTGTAGCTGCCACGCACAGTACAAGTTGCACACGGATGGGAGGAGCTGCCTGGGTAAGTGGTGATCCCACACCTGGGGGGTCCTGACTCAGCCTGCTCCTCCTCAGTGCAGACCCTGCCCTCCACCTTCCTGTTGGTGGTGGTTCTGTGCATGCCCCCCGGGGGTGCTGGGCTGCTCCACGCACTCCTGTGGGAGCGCTCCAGCTTTGGGCTAGAGGTCCTGCTCTCCCTGCACAACCTTGGGAAGCCCTTCCTCCTCCCTGCACTAGGCTGCTTCTGAAGCTGGTATTCTGGAGATTGCGACAACACATCCAGAGGGTCAGGATGACCACTGTGGTGGTACGGCAGGCTTTCTGGTCAGCAGGAGTGGGGGATGCGCATTTCTGGCAAGTTGTCTGCCCTGCCCTGAGGGGTTCATCCTTCACTAGCTCTATTTTCAAGCTTTCTACACCCAATGTTCTTTTCACCCTGAAGTAGGGTTCCTGGAGTGAGTCTGAAGCTTGAATTTTGCAGTGTCTCCTTCATCAGTGCAATGTACTTCCGACACTTTCTCCATATGGAATGTCTGTAAGAATCTGTGGCCACTTACTGTGTGTCCCACAGAGCTCCACTAGGACATAATATTGAGTGAACAGAGTCATATCTTCCCTTGTCCTCGTGTCTGGAATTCCATCAGAAGCACTCACGCAGACGATGGGTAACCTGCCTCATTCAGCCGGGGAATTTGGTCTTTGCTTCTCTTATAGAGAGAGAGGACACTGGCCTGGAGGTGACAGAGAGCAATGCCACATTGGTGGCAGATGGGGATAAGCGAGTGAAACGGAGGCTGCTCATGGGTAAGCAAGCGTCTTCTCTCCCCTTCCTGGACACTGCCATTGCCATTTTGCCTCCAGTCTCACTGCGCAAGGCCTGGACTCAGGGCCATGTGCCCCCTGACCAGAGGCCAGCTGCTGAGCCTGGGTGTGGCTATTGCTTTGATGCCATCCAAAATTCCTGGCACTGTGGGAAGATTGCCCGCCAAGCCATCAGGAGAGCCAGGTTAATGTCCGAGAGCTGCCCCTGCTGGTTGAGAGACTTGGCCACAGAGACTCTCTCTAGGTCTTCCTTCAAAATAAATGCAATAAACTCTACCTCTTGGGATTGTTGGGAAGTTTAATTAAGACAATGATAGGCAAAACTGCCCAGAGTCCAGGGTCTAGGACACAGCGGGTGGCCAGGGAATGTCAGTCCCCTTATGAGAGAAGCACATTGGGCGGCCTCCAGCCTCGCATGGGGATTTGTCTGTTTTGCGTCCAACTTGCCATTTCTCTGAGTCAACCAGTGTTAGCGGTAAAGGAGATGAATGGAGAAGAGTGGCATTTGGCTGTGGGACAGGGGACACTCTGCCAGCAGCCCCAACAGTGGAGCTGGACAGGAGAGAGAAGTGGACCCCATGCCTGAGGGGGTGGGAACCAGACAGATTCTCGGACACATTATCCTGGAGAGCTTGGTGCTACCTAAACAAAATGGATCTTTTGGCAGCTTCTTGATTTAATAGGTAAGATATTGAGTAGCCACTGGTTGGGGACAGAGCCAACCAACTAACATTTCAGAGCCTTTTTCTCAATGGCCAAATTAACACAGCACACATGATTAATATAAAATTTTAAAACTTAATTGCCAATCAGCTTGTAATGAAAGACATCATTTTCTCATCTCTTGACTTCCCATTTCTTAATGCCACTTATTACAAAATTGAGGTCCCAATTCTCAACTCTCCTCGTTGTTTCTCCTCACTCCCCCTCCCTTGTATTCTGAAAAATGAATGGATTGTGCACCACTGTTTCTTGGTACTCATGCATGTGTACACCCCCCACACACCCCCCCACACACCCTGTGCCCCATACCTTTAAAATGTGGGGGTTTTTTGTATTTAGGGAAGGGTCTACAGGGTGTTCAGTATCTCACTATTAGATTGGACTCATAGTGATCTGCCTGTTTACAGCCTTCCAAGAGCTGGAATTACAGGTGCACGGCACCATACCCAGTCTCAATTGCTGTCTCAGCATGCCCCGGGGGCGGGGCCCAGCATGGCAGGCCCAGGGACTGAACCCCGGCCCCTGTGCTAAAATAGTTTTTATCACAATTTATTTATTTATCTGCATTTAGGACAGGCTTTACAGGGTCTCACTACGTAGATCGAACTTGCGATCCTCCTGTTTTCAGCCTCCCAAGTGCTGGGATTACAGGTGTGCGCCACCACACCCAGTCTCAATCTGTAAGGATGTCTGTAAGGATCTGTGGCCATTTAATGTGTTTCCCACAGAGCTCCACTAGGACATAATATTGAGTGCACAGTCTCAGCGCACCCCGGGGGCAGGGCTGGCACAGCAGGCCAGAGCATCGAACTCCCAGCCCCTGCATCTGCCTAAGCAGGCGCTTTAATCCACTGAGCTATTTGGCTGGCTCTCACAATTTAAATCAGTATTACACGTTTATGTTATTATGACTATGGATGGATATCTACATATGATTTGCTGAGCATCCTAGGACATAGTATGATTATATTTTCTGTGGTTAGTTTTCCCAGTATTTCTTACCCATTCTTCGGCAAGTTTCTGAAAGAACTCTCTAAACCCTTTCCAGTGTGCTCAAATGCAGTAGGACATTCTCAGCTGAGGGTTCTTCTCTCTGCAGCCTCCTTTAAAGGCATCCCCTGTCTAGGAGGGCCTGACCCTTCACCCCAGCTCCGCTCTCTGCAGGTCCTCTTCCAGTGGCTTACAGATTCCTTCTACTGCTCTCCTGATTTGATGGAGAGGTTGTGTCCTTTTTAGCCTTGCACTGAAAATAAGGCATAGATTTTTTAAAACTGTGCATACTGTTGAGGCCATTTGATCATTATACAATTTGCCAAAACAAATGTCTTTACCTTTCATCTTTTGTTGAGAATCTGGTTCATTATAGAAGTCGGTGTCCTCGTTAATGTCTGTTGTTTTCATTCTTATTGACGTTTTATGTGAAATCTGTGAAAGCTCCCTGGAAGTTTTCAGGATCTGGAATTTCACAGTAAGGTTTTCCCACCTGCT